ATATGGAAATCATATTGTTAGCGTTTGAGAAGAAGTGTAAGAAACAATGATGTTGAATATTTTTATAAACACTATATGTAGGTAATTTGTTGTTAAACTTCTATTGCCAGTAGACCTATTTTAAAATTAAATTCAGTCTCTCTTTGTTGATCTCATTTCTATTGCTTTGCCGTTAGCATTTTTGTTCCATTCTAATTTTTAAAAACAACTGTATCCATAAATAATATATATATTTTAACCATTGAATGTTTGTTCTAAGATTAAATTTCTTAAATACTGTGTAACTTGATGTAAATGTTTTCTATTTTTTTCTGGTTAGTTTTTATTGTGTTTCTGTTTTGCTGCCTTTGTTTTCTTTTATTAGTCATCAGACAAGGTGATTGTCATTTACTATTCACATCCATTTTACATTGTTTACTGCTTTATCCAGTTGATTTATTCAAAGATCTCAAGTGATACAATATAGTACACAACAAACAGAGAATAAGTATAACTAAATTCAAATTGTTATTTCACGGTGGTTTTCAGTTTTACTGCGGTTTTCTGACACAATGCTTGCTGAAATCATTCATTTAGTTTAGAAACAATCGTATTTGTTCACCTGGGGAGGTATTTTTTATTGGAGAAGCGTTATAAAAAAAATGAATATAATAGTAATAATAAACTAAAAGTAAACAAAGTGCTCAAACAACAATATCTTAAAGAAAAATTAATGATTATTAGAAATAATAAATAATTTGTTTACCTACTGTAATTAAATCCATAACCACAGATCCTATATAACATAACAATTGAATTAATATTGAATTAGGTTGATAGTGGCATTTTGAAATTGTTGAGAGTGGTATGATAATATTTGTTGTAGTTTATTGAATTTAATAATAATTGCATTTTATAGTATCATAAAAAGATTGGTGTTTTTTTGCTGGTGCTACAAGAATTGACGAATATAAAATTGTACTAACTAAATTGCATTATGTTAACTAGCAAAAAAAAAACACATTAAAAATACCAATACTTACAACAACAAAAATATGAATTAAAAATACCAATACCTAAAAGGCAAAAAGGCATTGGACAATAAAAACACTCCAAAAATAGTAAACATTTAAAAAAGTGATAATTATTTATTATTTTTATAAGAAATGATTAACACTAATTAAGTTCATAAAATATAAACAATTAATTGGCAGGGGAGAATTATGATTCTATTTTTTCTTCTTGCATACTAATGCAGCCTGAAAAGATAAATTGTTTTTTTATTAACCTGGTTCACATTAGATCAGTATATAAATACTGTTCTATCGTAATATAATACTGTACACACATCACTCTGTAAGATATGATATGGTGAATCAAGTACTTATCCTGATCATAGAATATTTAATTCAACAGTATGTGTTACCATGGAGTATCTTTTTTATTAAATAGTAAACTCATTGTTCAAAGCATCTAATGTGTAATGAAAAGTTGTCGCTATCATACCATAAATGAACTAAAGTGGCTTCGAGTATATTAAGTTTCTAATACATGGATTACTAGGTGTCATATGTGATAAATAACTCCTGACCAGTTTCTCAATTGATTCAATATCATGTGTATTAGATGAAGGCTGAAGATTGCTAGCATACTAAATTCTTAATTGCAAACTCTCATTAATTAGGCTTTTAGGACATATAATTATAGTTGGATAACAGAGTGTATTATATCTCTTTGGAAATCTATAATCACATCTACATCATATCTTACCAGCTCTATCATCAACCATGTGTGTAGCTTTTTTCCTTAATAGAGCCAATTTCCAAAAAGTGTCTGCTGTTCTTATCTTAAGTAATATCTTGTAATTAATGAGAACCTATCAGCCATTATATACTTTAGATTAAAAGCATGATAGTGTACTACTGACCTCCTACACTAGTCATTTTATCACTAGATCTCTAGGCCTACAATTTTCATTCTTAAAAGCATACAGTGTCTTCTCTGATGAATATTCTATAGAATTCTTTATTGAATTTAATTGAATTTTTAAAATGCAGTTTTTACTTTTTTTTTTTTTTTTTTATTCAAGGCTCAACAGTGTATCAAAACACCAATAACATAGTCGCCATAAAGATATACAATATCATTCATAAATATATATAAGATTTTTTAAAAAAACATAAAAAGCATAAAGAAAAAACTTTAATAACTGCAAATCTTGACACATCTCCTAATAATATTTGATATTAAATAATGATAAAATCAAGAACAATAAAAACAAAGATAGTTAGTATCATCTGTTATTACCATCTATTTGTATTATTTTTACTTCCATCTCTTTGTTTGCATTATTATTATTATTATCTTAATAATATGCTGATTCTTTTTTTCAAATACCAAAAAAAATTAAAGTAGGGTGTTACTCACTTATTTTCAGTAATAACAATATTGTTATTTACAGTGACTGCAAATAATGTATGGCACATCTGGTTTATTAGTTAAGGGTTCTGGCTAAAAAGGCCATGTGCCAACGGGACCATGATGGCGACCAATAGCAAAGGGACTAGAATGGCAACAAGCCGGGTGGCCACCACGCTAGGAAAAAGGCTGGATGGCAACAAAATAAAGGTGACAAAAGCACATTAAAAATGAGAGAGAAGTCTGAGTGGCAAAGAGCCTAAGGTGGCAAAAGGCTGGGTTGCAAGTAACTGCATGGCTCAGCTTGCTTTTCTTAAGGGATGCCTTTGACCCTTTAAACATTATTTAGTTTGAGTAATCCAGCGTACTGTTTTTAGTCCTTATTCAAGAAACTACAGATTCAATGGAAGCCACTCTACTTCCTGAAACTCAAAATGAACATTAGTCTAAGTCACAAACTTTTATTCAATTCAACAGTCAATCAGGCAATCAATCAGTTGGTTAGTATGGCATGGCAAATTGCAAGAGTAAAACTGCAATTTGACAAACCAAAAAATTAACAAACCAACCCTTAAAAATTTCTTGTATTTGCAGCAGCTTATATCTAGGAACCTTGAAAGGAGAGGGGGAAGATGGGGGTGTGCAAAGGTGATGGGCAGCACAACGTTGACGTGTGGGGAACTAGCTTGTAGAATAAGGTGATTTTAACCTACTTGAGTGGAAGTTTTTTTTGCTTCAAACATTTCCAGTGAAGGGGGGGGGGGGGGGGGGCGACTTGGGGTGTAAGTTAAATTTTTTTTTTTTTTTTTTGGCAGGGGACCCCCATGCATCCCCAGATATGCCACTGTGAATTTGACTGCAGGACATCAATGGTCAAACACAGCTTCACTTGGTGGATTAATTTCATTAAATATTGTATAGCAGTTTGATGGACAAAAAATAAAATTGGCATAAGTTAAATTTAATATATTTGATAGCATAAGGATCGATTGATTGACTGATTGGCTGTTTGATGGGGTGATTAATAAGTGGAACTCATATACATTTTAATGCACACCAGTTCTTAGAGTGTACACTTTAGACCAAATTACATTTTCATAGTCTTGTTTAATTTGTTTTACTAATAACTACTTCTATAGATTTGAACTTTCATTCATAACTAAGTTGCTTAATCTCTCAGCTGTCGTGAATAATTAGTATATAATGGTGTAACTGTTTCAGTATCTGTCTCTTTTTAATAACCATTTATCTGTATGGCTTCGTTGATATAATTATTGACCTAATAACAAGTGAACATTTCATATCTTTCTGAGAATTTTTTATACAATTTGTTTTATCATTGTATCTACAAATCTAATTTGATGGAAATATCCTTGGGGTAGAATTGGCTTTTTCGTCCAATGATTAGTTGTATTATTGACATAGCCTATTAATTCAATTTCTTTTACACTTTGTGTAATTTAAGGTATATTACTTGAGTGCATATCAGTCATTATTATGTAGTCTTGATTAGAATTTTGGTATTTTCTACTTAAGTCAAAATGGCAGGCTATTGTTGCTGTTTTTTCTTTTATAATATATATTTTTATTTATTGAGGTATAAAACACTTACAAGGTGTCAGCAATGGCTGGATGGCCTTGTATTAGATATTTTGTACAATATAAAAGAGATAATAAAAGACACCACAGTCAAACCATTAGCAAAGAACAATAATTCAAATTCAAAAAACAACGTATAATAATATTCACATACAGCACATAGCACTACAGTTTGTGTACATTAGAAATATTGGTTTTGCAAATACAAAGGAGAGAATACTGTTTTTGAATTTTGGCATTATTTTTTTTTCGAGAAGTATTAATAGCAACAGAAAAACTAATATCATTTTTTCTTGGCATGGTCGTAAAATTATGATGATAATGTGTATCTATTGGTGATGATTTATTGAAATGTATTGGAGTTATTAACAATCATTATATTGTACAAGCGGTTTGGCGTAGCAGGAACGATTTGGATTCTGGTGCAGATGCAGGATTTGGCAGTAGGGGATGCATGAGAGTCCACTATCACCTCAGGACCACCATACTTTAGAAATCCTACCCGTACTAGGCCTATGTTCATAATGATAAATATGATATAGGCTTATCAACAGTACAATACAACAATTATTTTTCTTAATACAATTTGGGGGGTGCTGTCCCACTGTCTGTATCCGCCCAGGTTTCCCAACCTTGAGGTCAGAGTTGCAATCCTTGTTATGCATTCTGCTTGTGTCCTTGAGCAAGGCACCTTATCTGCATTGCTTCTCTCCACCCAGGAGTATAAATGAGTACCTGGTGGGGTTGCCTGCTCCTACGCTGATTACCAGCAGCAACACTTAACGCATGTGGACCCAATGACTGCACTTTATAACCTCAAAGAAGAAGTGCATTATAAATACCTATACCAGTACCCGTATATACTCCTCGGAGGGTAGATGTATTTTGTATATTTTCAGATGACTCATATAAAATATATTAAACCAACAATTTATTACCCATATTTTAGTCTATAATGCCAATATTCTATACCAATTGTTTTCTTCTTTTAATCCGTATTACAGGCCTGTTAGCTACATGAAAATGAACATACGGCAAATGCTGGCTTCTGAGCATTCAAGCGGCATTAAGGAGATGAGTGGACCACCAGCGAAGCATGCAAAAATTACGAGAAAGAGAAAAGCGCACAAAGGAAAGATGTCCAAACACTGATAGAGATACAAAAGGAGCCACTCACAAGTATTGGCACAGACTTTACATGTTTTTGTTTTAATAAAGATGTTAAAACGCTTACAGGATAGCTTTTTGGTTTTTCATTTTATTAAGGAATAAAATGCCGTATGATTTGCATATACTGTAGAAGAAATGACAGAAGCAACTAATGCCGACACTAAAATGTTGAATAAAATCACAAAGTCAAAATCCAGATCCTGAATAAGAAATGATATGTAATTTCAAAAAACCTGTTACCTAAAGTCATAAAAGGCACTAATAAGATCCACACAAAACAAAATGTTGCATGGGATGCATGTTAAATATTACACACAGGTTTTGTGAGATATTCTTACAGATGTCACTATTGCCTTGACTCTAGTAAATTAAAAACTTGCAAAAGGTTGGTACAATTGATATACAAGCAGTAAGATACATTAAGAGGCCAAAGTATAAGCTCCACTTAGGCCGGAGGTCTGTGTTAGGCCTCTGCAATGTCTGTTTTTATTTGAAGATATATCAGTTACAGTTCTCTCAATTCCAATTGGAATTGATAAATGGATAAGTCATATTTTATTTTGTAATTCATTACATTTTAAAATGGAATTAAATATAAAAGTGAAGTCAGTTATTATTTTCATATCAGTATTGTGTTCTAAATGCGTTATCACAAGATGGAAGCGATACTTCATAAACTAAGTTTCTTCAAAGGCTTAGAGAGTGGCATTTTTAATCATAAAAAAAAATTGAGTCACAGGATTTAAACCCAGAATCAGAAGGAAATATCTCAACCACCAAGCTGCAGTCCATTAAAATATCGTATTTTTTATGTGACACATGATTGACATAAGATGAAATTGGTGGACCCCATGATTGATAGATTATGGAAATAACAGACAATACTGTACATAACAACATGACAATAACTAACATAACAAATCATTTTTTTTTATAATGCGAGAATAATAATAAATATTTTGATATCGAATCACATTGAATCGTGTTTGTGAGAGCAAATACTGCACTAAAGGGATTGTACGTGCTTTATGCTGTTTGATTAAATTGCATATTGGGAACGATTGTCAAAAGCAAATAAGAACAGGTGAATATGATATGAACATACAAACCTATAGTAAACTATGTACAATTTGGAACCATGTCAATTCTACCCATTGACAGTTATGAATAGTCAGGCTGTTGGTTAGTGGTTGAGATCAGTCGCTTCCATTTTAAGGATTCGCGTCTGGTTTTGGTTTAAAATGTAGAGATTTTTCTTGCAATCAAAAAACAAAATCACTCCCAATGCCTCGTACCCAGTTTGGTTAAGCAGCATCAAGGGTGGATAACCATCAATGCAAATACTATAAAACGGGGGTAGGTGTAAAAAAGAATGTTTTGAAGAACCGAAGTGAATTATACCGATAATCGTCGCCGGGCCATAAAAAAAATGACTTCTTGCGCACACAGGGGTTTTAATTTAGTTCGTGGGCTGTAGTTTGCCCATCTGTTCTCTAAGAGATAGTATTTTTAATCTACACACTTCGTAGCAATTTATAGAGAAGTATTGCCCATTTATATTTGAACATAATACATATGATATGGATAATTCTGAAACCTTCATTTACCTAATTCATTCTTCCATTTCAATGTAATACAAAATGTACTGAATTTCAGAGTCCCCTTTTTAAATATTTGACCAGTAGGAATTTAAAAGGGTCGCCCAAGATATTTTACAGTACACAATACACTCTGTGTTTCTCTGTAATTGAATATTATTTGTGTATCTTATATTTTTTAATTAAATGATATATTAAACTAAAATTCGGCCTTTCAAAAGAAATTTACCTTCTAATTCTAATTATTCAATGTTATGAATTTGTGTGTGTATGTAGGAATACCATTTCCTTTCGACAACATTAAGTAAAATTTTAAAACAAAATGGGCCTATTCATTATTTTAACAACGTTTTGTGAGGTTAGTCTATCCAGGCGAAGCAGCAATCATTTGGGACACTCGAAACACATACAATAAACCTAATAAAAGGATTCGCACGTACCGCAGCCCCTCGCTATCAAGACGAGTACTGTAATTTCAATAGTACTTTTGTACCATATATGCCATGCCATTTCATGATATTTACAGTATAGACTTAAACTTAATTGATGGATACATAAGAGAACAGTGATAGTTTGCATTGAAAAGGTCATAAGATATGCTAAGCTTTAATACTTATGAACTGTATTTATTAAATAATATTAATAAATAGCAAGCATAGGCCTAATCATAATAATTAATAACCATAATAATAATAAACATACTAATCTTTATGAAAAAATAAAGATATTTGATAATACTGACAATGATGACAATAACACTGAACATTGACCCTAAATAAAATAAAATCAAATTTATTTTTATGTTGCATATGATAGTAATTATTGAACATATTGATTACGTAGGCATGTGTGGACTCGTTTCTTGAATTCACCAATTAAGTAAGTTGCAGTGTTTTATATGATCCGATAAACCATTCCAATTTTTGCAGCCCCTGTAAGCTGGTATACACTTTAGTCCTACATTTATTCATACCGTTATAACACAGTTATCTAAACTCAAACCATAGAGACCTTTTTTATTGTCATTAGTTTAATCTGTTCAATTTATATCGTTTGCAGTAATACTGTACTACTTGGAACAGTATGTTTAGAAATGTTATTGCTTTCAAATAGATTAAAAAAATATACTTTCAAAATAAACTTATTGTATTATTGTTGTTTCTAATTGCCGGTGTGCTTTTATATGCTCTTTTAGTTACGGTTAACGATGTTAAGTCTCAACAATAGGCAATAAATCGGTAAGATGTGTTGGTGTTATCTAATACAAAAATATCAAATTAACAATAAAACAGATAAAAGTTGAACTCATTATTATTCGTCATTTCCAATCTAATTATTGTTATCGGTAATTGCATTATTTTTCTCCGTTTCTATGATATGTCTAGGCCTATTGCTTTAAGTAGACTGATTTTTGAGAAGTTTTGTGTTATCTTTATATAGAGTTGGCTCATATCGCTTGTTCACGATTGTTGATAATTTTACTATTTCGCACAATAAATGAAATGAAATGAATAAACTCAGTCTCATTCCGAGCTTTTACTGACAGACGCACCCAACCTACCTTTTGCTATCGAATATCAGCAATGAAATTGAATATAGATCGCCAACGAATAACAACCTTCTGAATCGTTCCCAAAGTATAGCACCGAAGGTCTGTAATAGCGTTATTATCTAGATTCCTGTGAAATGAACAGCATAAAGGTTTATAGGAGTCAACATCTTATATATTCTCAGTGTCTCACGTTCCAACTTTATAGAAAAGTGTTTGCAGAAAAGTAAATGGAAAGGGAAAATCAAATTCAGTCGTAACTCGGACATTGCTAAGATTACGGTACTTCATTTGTTCCCGTTCTCCACATGTCTTTCTTCCAGGCCCATTTCCCCAATTCTTTCTTTTTTTTTTTTTTCTTTTTTTTTTTTTGGCATTTCACTATGTGAGCACTGCATGTTGTATGGCTTCTTTATGGGTATGGGTACAAACTATTATCAGAAATTATATAAATCCCTTTAGCCCACTCATATTGTGTCCTAAACTATTAGGAATATTTTGGCTTCAGGATTTGCCCGACAGGGGGACTAAGGCCCCCGACTCGGGGCCGATGTCCCCGACGAGAGCAAAGTGGCCGTGGTCGGGCGTTGCTCATAATCTTTCGAAAGTGGTCGAAAATATGACAATTTAGGAGTTTCAAATGCTTATTTCATCGATTTTAGGGTCTACTAATATGTAGAAAATACATAGGCCTATAATTTTGTTTTCTTCTTGACGAATTTTGTTTTTTTTTCTCCTCGACGAGGGTGGGGGGAGATGTGAGGGTGGAGGGAAGCGCTCCCCCGCTGGCGTCACCCCTGTTTGACTCCAGAACCTGCGATTAGCCTGAGCCGTATTGAACCTCGACAGGTAATTTATTCTCTACTTATTAATATAGGCGTACACCGAAACAGTGTAAGTCTATGCATATTAATTATATTTATGTTGGAATAAATATCAACATGTGAAAATTTATACAATAAGTACTGTAGTGTGTGATTACTAATAATGGTAATGCAGTGGAACCCCTCATTTGCGCCACCCCTATTAAGAGGACACTTTTCCTTGAAACGTGGGAAAATATACACTAGTCAAATCCTATTAATGGGAAACTCTTCCCCCATTGTTTTTAATTTAAAAGGTGTTTAGCATTGTACGATAACGTAGGCCCTATATTATGCAAAAACACCCTCGAATGCTCTTCAATTACTGTATAATTTTCTGACAAACCACTATTGTTTCCTGAAAAAAAAAATACAACTCTGATAACAAAGCCTTTAGAATGTCAACGGCAAACTGGACCAAAGAATCTTGGTGCTATTACCTATTCAATTTTTTTTTTAATTTCAAATTTCAGTTATGCTTATTTTCGATCCCTAGGCATTTTATTTTGATAACATATATGATTATGGTTATGATTTCTTTGAAATGAAAAAAACGCATTCCCTTGTTCATTGCTATTTCTGATCTCGAAACTTTTAATAATAGGCGAATAAATACCTAAAATATACACAGATATGGAGGAATGTACGTCTGTGCGCATGAATCTAGTACACTTAATTTACATAAAGACAAATGATTTTGTAATTTGAACATTTAAGTCGTATTGAGAATTTGCGGTTATTGTGTATTAATATATAGCGTCGTCTCGTTTATCAGCGTACCTAGTCATCTCTGCGCCCCTAGATACTTGCTGGAGACAGACTGCCTAGATTAGTAGTCGTATTTACAGGTCTCAGAGGGAAAAAACAGCGAAACACTTGAATTTTTTGTAAATGGTGTATAATATTATCACAGCTATAATGAAAGTGACCAAGAAAAACAATTATCTTAGGTTTATATTGCGGTTGCAAGATACAGGTCTCGAATGACTTTTTACGGGTAATGGACATTAAAGAAGTGCCACCACCCACTAAAGTCATTCTAGAAGCCTTATCAAAGCAATTGACAGGATAAACTAACCTTCATTAAGAAGTAATATATAAACCCATATTATGCAGTGATAGAAATACTGTTATAGGCAATGTGTGTGTGCATAGAATAAATGATGCTGTATATATATATATATATATATATATATATATATACTGTCTCGTACACACATCTATA